CCCTCTCCCCACTTAAGCCATAAGTACTGAGGGTTGGGATTTGATAGAAACTGAAGAACCGATTCAATGTGGAATCCTGGAAGAAAAATTATTTCATTTGTGTGTTATTCTAGTGGCAACTCATTAATATAAGTAGCCTTAATATTATTAAAATTAAATGAAAATCTTTAAGTTCTACTAAGTAACTTTAGATCATATTTATATAAAATACATGGGATCATTTTAGAGAATACAGATAGGGAAAAAAATACTTTAAACATTATGAAAGGTCTTACCACCCAATATTTTGTTTCTCTCTTCTTAAAAAAAAGAAAATAGAGACAAGGTCTTACTGTATTTCTCAGGCTTGTCTTGAACTGCTGGGGTCAAGCAGTCCTCCTGCCTCAACCTTCCGGAGTGCTGAGATTACAGGTGTGAATGACCAGCCAGGCCAATTTTGTCTGTATGACTATTAAGATTCACTCTATGTATTTAGCAAGATGTGACCGTACTATACATCATATATTTATAATGCCCTCTTTTTATTTATCATCATATAAATATTTGTCTATATTATTTTGGTAACTGAAGAGTATTTTATTAAGTCATAAACTACCCTGTCCAACATTATGGGACGTGTAGGTGATTTCTAGTTTTTTAATACTAGAAATGGTGAAGCAATGAGTGTGTTTGTGGATTATTCTGATGGCAGACATTATGAAGGCATTGTGCTGCTTAATGCTTGGGCTGGACTAGATTGCACTACTAGGGTAGACACTACACTAGGCTGGGGTTGACAGATTCGTTCTGTAAAGGGTTAGGCAGTAAATTTTTCAGGCTTTGTAGGCCAAACTCTCTCTTTTGCTGCTATTCAACTCTGCTGTTGTAATGTGAGAGCAGCCACAGATATTACATAAACAATGAGGGGAGCTGTGTTCCAGTAAAACTTTCTTTACAAAAGCAGGCAGTAGGGGTGTATGTGTGTACACAGATTTAGTGCCTGGGCTGTAGTCCGCCAAATTCTGTTCTAGAGGCATCGTAGACCCACAGGCCAATCATGTCTTAGAGGTTCAGTGAAGAGCTGGGATCTTATTACTTTTTCTTGAGGCTGACCATATAGAGTAGAATAGAATTATTGTTTATGAATTGACAAGCTTAAGTTTCTGTTACGTACATTTAATATTTCAAGGAAAAACCTTGTATTTTGAGAGTCCCGGGATTTAAAAATGGCAAAATGTTGAAACCTTTCCAAGTGAGACATTTTAAATATATTTTGCGGTGTACACTTTTATGTTTAAACAAACGGAACATGAATGTTCAGACCTTGGTCTCAGGTGCGTTCTGTCTGGAAGGAGAGGCGATGGAGGCCCTTGACTAAAGCTTTCACTTCACATTCTAGAATAGAGGGGTGTCAGACTAGGACTCACTAATGCGCTATTCATCATGCACAACACAGTTTTGAATTAAGTACATGTGTATTTAGGTATTTTCAAGTCGTGTGCATCTCTTTAATGTGTAAGATCAACATGGGTTTGCAAAACCGTGAGCAGGGCAGAGTAGCATCCTCTTTAAAGCCACTCTTCTTCTGAGCTCAGGTGTTATAGATGAAAAACAGCTCTAAATCCCGTTTGCACACTGATACCGTCTGTGGCTTGGGTAAATCTTTTAGCCTGAGGTTTTTTAACCAGTAATCTGTTAACTGGCAGCAATCCATGGGAAATGCACTTAATTTATTGTGAGTCACAGATTTTGAGGGCGAAAGACAGGATCCCAGGAGAAGACTGGTGGTCTAAGTAGACAGATTAAAGGAATATCACAAAATAATGCATCTGGAATTTTCAAATATCAAGGAAAGAGAACTCAACACACCCCTGTTAATGCAGTCGTAGGACTCGAGCATGGAAGAGTTATCTAACAACCACATCTTCACTGCAGTTGCTTGGTTTTTTAATGAAGCCCTCTTCCTCTAAGACAGTGATTCTCAGTAGGGGGAAGGGGGCATTTTTGCCTCCTGGGACAAATTTGGCAATGTCCGGAGACATTTTTGGTTGTCACACTGGGGTGGGGTGTGTGCTGTTGTCATCTATAGGTAGAGGCCAGGTATGCTGTTAAGCCTCCCGCATTGCACGTACAGTCCTCTACAACAAAGGACTCTCTAGCCCCACACGTCAGTAGTGCTGAGGTTGAGAAACCCTGGTCGAAGACAATGATGTGAAAAGGGACCTTAGTTAATCTTTATAATGGGGTCTAAATGAGAAAATCCCTGACCTCATTGTAATGCCCTATTTCTCCTTCCCCAGGAATTGATTCGTATTCTGAAAAATTAGGTTGAGAAATCAGATTTTTTACCTCATTCACTTCCAATAGGTTTGATCAAGAAAAGTTTCCACCCGTTTACATTTGACATACGCTGCTGCCTTACATTATTGCCAAATGTTGTTAATAATTGTTTA